TGTCAAATATAGCTTAGATATAAGTAGGTATAGTTACTGAGTACTGAAAAGTTCACAAAGGACCGTACAGATTTAAGTTCTACGGATATGTTACTAAGCAAAAAGCAACATATTTGTAAAGATGGAATCAAACTTAATAGTATCAGCTCTCTTTTCGGTAAGACCACATGCCCTTTTTCCTCAATGACCTTTGCTTTCCATGTAAAGAGTTAGTTAACCGAGTTTAGAACATTTCTCACCATCCATGTGAATGAAATGCGATGGCAGTTGCACCAATTTCCCTCGCAGATATCTCTGGCATGTGATTTGTAGGCAATGACATCAGAGACAGGGAAGTATAAATAAATCACATGTGATATATTAATATAGACTGGCTTGTTTAGCACATATTATAAATGTAGTTTTCACACCTCATTTCAAGCTGAGACGACAGCCAAAATAGTCGTTGCTAATCACACCACATTTAAATCTCCCCTACGCAGCTCCTTGCCTTTCCCCACCACGCTTTGAGAGATCTCCCTCACAAACCACCCGTCGGGCTGCTTACCAGCATCTGGCAAGCTTGCTTGAAGGCGCATGAAGCACGCATTTGCATTTCACTCGCCTGATGTTCTCAGATACACAAGGGTGTTCATTTGTTTTGCCAAATAAGGAGCATTTTTTAAAAGCTCTATGGATTGTCTGTTTAGCTGTGGGACCCCACCCACCCTCATCCATTTCAGCTGTGGCCCTGCTGTGGTATCATCAGCGTGAGAAGAGGCCAGACTGATCTTATTTTCCAAGTTTTGCATAATGACATCATTAGGAAAGTGTCAGGATAGTGTGGGATTTCCATCAAACAGTATGGATTCAAAAATCTGTGCCAGCATTTTACCATGACCCCACTCGCATATGGATGGATTCTCAGCCAAGGCCCACAGGCATGTTAATTACAGTCATAAATATAACTGTGTGCAAGCAGTGTAATTCCATTTATCTGCATTTAAGGGAACAGAGAGCAGTTTTAATTTGTTTGTAGAAACAATGTCAGACAGGTGATGTTTAAAGCCCTGATGGTAAAAGGCAAAAAGACAAGGGCAGATAACCACAAATTTAAAGTAGCTTAAATGTATCTGAATTAAAAAAATGTATCGTGTGCACAAATCCAGAGCATGTTTTCAAAATGCTGCTCTTATTAAAAAGGCTCAAGGCCAATCTTTGGTTCAAATGATTTCATCAGGTCTCTAGAAAGAGGGTTCAGAACAGAAAATGAGACACTAAAGCAGAACTGCTCCATCTCCTTTCTTGTATATGTTGGTTTCCTTTTGTAAAGTCAATTCATTTTAAGTGAGAAACAATTTAACAAAAAACCTTCCTGTTGTCTTCCTGCCGAGTAATCCATGTCAGCCATAAATCCATGTGAGTGTTTTCACATGAAATGTAATTGCAGATTATGTAATTTATCAAGTATTCATTTTCTAAGTGTTTTTATGTCCAAAAGCAACAAAAGGAACAGACTGTTCTCCTCCCCAAATTGTTCTTATTTGGAGTTTTGGGGGTTTTGTTTTTTAGTAATTTAATAATATTCAGTATGTAACTTTGCAAGGAATAGCAATGCCAGTTGACATGAAAAAAACCTTACAAAGACTGATCAGGCCAAAAAGAGCAGCAGCCACCACTGACTGGCCCCAAAAATTCATCATCAAAACATCCTAAACTCTTTCTTTGAAATGAAAATGAGGCTTTGGATGCAGCTTTCTAAGAGACAAAGAGATGTAGTGAAAACCAAACCTCACTCGAACATGAAAAACCTTCCGCTAGAACTGTTCAATTGTGCAGCAGTTTTATCTCGGCTGCTCAGCTCTCCTTCATGGTAATTTCTAGGCAAAGTTTCAGCCATTAGGTACATTTGAAATGAGATAGTAACACATTCCAGCCTTTCCTCGTGGGAAACAATGCGTCTTTGACATGAGCAGAAGAACTAACGAGTGTAGAATTAAGTGAGATAACAAGGATTAGCATGATATTCAGAGAAATTATTACACAGGCTAAGCTTTGGAGTGCAGCTGGACAAAAGTGATAACCATAGGTTAGAAATGAGAATTTAGATATCCAAAATAATATGTATAAAAACATATTCCTGATGCCGCTGATGTCAAAGTTAAAAATAATAAATAAGGTTAACCATTTTTAAAAAAGTGGATTTTTTTTTGCCACTTACTAGTATCAACACGCTTGATTGGGAGCAAATTTAGAATCCATAAAAGGTTGAAGTAAAAATTATCCAACCCTTAATTAAGAGCTTAAATACAGTAGCTCATGGTAATTAATGTATGACTGGAGTTTAATTAGCAAGAGGCCTGCCTCACATTCCTCTCTGCCATCCACATTGAAGCTTAGAAGTCCATACATTCAGCGCTGGGTCTCCATGTGTGAGTGTGACATCAAGCAGCTGCGCCATGTGTTTCTTTTTTTCCCCTTGCACTCTTTAGCCAAAAACAGGGTGCTTCGTATCAGTTTGTGACAATAAGAACGCCTGTGTGAGCGCCTTCACAGCACCAGGCGTGATGGTCGAGCACTGGGAATAATTAACTCCTGTGACCCAGACAGGGCAGCGACGGAGCAACTGCTGTGGCCGGAACGCCTGTCAAGTAGACTGGTCATCACGCCCCTCGGGCGGCGCCAGATGAAGAGCGTTTACTGGAAAGTGTTTACTGGACTGAAGACATATCTGTAGTTATTTGACTGTAGACCATTTTCCATAAACAGAGTGATGAGCCCTTCTCTTACACAGATGCAAACTTGAGTGTGTGTGTGTCACAAGACCAGAAAAAATGCTTTTTTCACTTGGGGCAAAGAGAAATGTATGTCTTCATGGTACAGTGGTTTTGAGGAAACCAAAAGAAATACTTGAAAGCCGAGTATGCGTTTGTCGCATGCAAATTAAAGATTTGCATGCATTAAACTGACAAAGATTCAGAATGTTTGTTTAATAGCTAATAGCTCTTAGATATTCTCCTTGCAGGCAGCAATCAAGCTATATACAACACGGGCTGCTATGTATTAATCAATGTTAGCCTCTTTAGACTGAGCACAGAAACAACACTAGAAAGAGCTCCATAGAGCTCCATGGTTCTCCATAAACCTACCTGCATAGTTATCACTTGGCACATAAACTTTCACACCATGCTGCAGCAAATGTATGAACATGCTCTCTCTAACACTCACGCGCACACACACTCGCACAAACACAGGCATATGGCAAGAAGCCGGCTGTTCGTTAGCACCCTTGACATCTCTGACAAATTGACTCCTTTATACGAGTGGAAGTGTGCGGCAAGGTGGTGGTGGGGGGTGGGGAAGGAGACAGGGAGGCCACGAGAAGGTGGATCATCTCATTCACACGGTCTGAAGGAGAGCGATATCATTCTGGGACACACGCAAACTCCACCTGTGACATCAGCGGCATGCAAAAAAGGCTGGCTTTGGTAATGATGAGTTAAAATTGAGGCGCTGGAGGGAGAGAGAGAGGTGGGAATGATCAGAGGACAAGGGATGGGGGGAGAGGAGGCGGTGTGATGGACGGAGGGGAGAATGGAGGGCAGGGGCAAATGAAGGAGAAGCTAAAACCTCAAAGAGACAGTTTAGGGGATCAGAGGAGGAAAAGTGGTGAGAAGAAAGAGCTGGAAAAGTCGGCTAATAAAGCTTTTGAGAGGATATTTAATGTGAAGGAGGGTTAGGCCTGTTTCGCAGGATGCCGACATCAAATCTGGATGCAGCACATGCCTCTCCAACAGATTTCCCTCTAAAGCTATACATTTACGTAGCACAATCTCTCTGAATTTTTTTTTCCATTAAATTTTTCATAACAGTACGATAGCCAGATATAAACCAATAAAATATCATTATATTCTTTGAGTGTTTTACTGCATGGCCCGTAGATTATCTCTAATATACATTGCAGCTGGTATTTTCCACAATTGCGTCTTGCTTTAGTGAGTCCAAACACTCTAAACCTTGTTAATGGCACTTTTTTTGGATAATTAGTTCCAATAAGATAATCTTTAGAGAGAGCAAGCGATCCAGCCAACCAGCAAAGGCTGTACAGCCGCAATTAACACTTACGTCAAACTTTAATGGCGTGGGGGAAATAAACATTCGGTCTCGTACAACACTAATACGTTTCCCTTGTATTAGCACCACAGATACAGTATCATCTGGATCTAAAGCCATTAACAGTAAAGCTATGCTTTTTCTGTTCTTGTAAATGTTTCTCTATCAACTGAATTCCTTCCATCGTGGTGCTTTCCAGAAAACTTTTTCCTCAAATAATTCAGAGTCGTTGGATTCTGACTGCTGAACAAGCCTGATGGCAGTTTTGAGCACCAGATCCAATTTAAAAGTCCCTTTTCTCAAAGAAAGAACAAACAAAAACATCTGAGCTAGAAGTCCACATGCTAAACGTAGCAGATTTTTGGCAAGGGTGGAATTGTGTCAGAAGAAATCCAGCCTGCCCGGCCTCTTCAGTGGCTGCTTGTTAGGAACTACAAATAAACTGTAGTCAAAAATTTTCTGCAAAAGATGGTTTTACAAGTTGGTTTCACATACACAAGGCATTTCACAAAGGAGCTGTGGCTGCATCCTGAGTTTAGCAACCCCTGAGACAACAAACTGCTTTAAAAGTTGGCATGTTAACTAATTTAACAAACAGAAAGACAGATAGATCTGCTACTAAGAGACAAAAGGAGAACTGAAAAATGTTTCCAAGCTGATTTTATGAACTTTGAATTAACACAAATCTCAGCTTTTTGTCTGTCGAGCAGTGGCCTTCATCAAGACCAGTGGCTGCCATTCTTTTTTTGTGCTGCAAGTCTATGTTCAGGACAAAGAGCTACACTTGGATACTGGTTTGTACTGTGATACATATTCAGAATTGGTAAATTCTAATATTGGCCAGCCATTCAATTGTTAAAATAGAAGTTCAGAGTTTAAATTGTGATGGAATATATTGTGTTATATACCTGATGTGCTTTTGATTGCCGTGCAACTGTAAAAAAGAAAAACCTCAGAAAATGTATCAGGGTTCAACTAAATATCTTTGCACCATCCTGATTTGACATGTCACATCATTTCTGGGTGAGATCTGCTAAAGCTCCACCTGTAAGTAGAGACCATTCATGAGCATCTCATGCTGGAATGAATATGTGACATTTTTCTGATTATCTCATGTTAGACCCATAATGAGCCCCGCTGTCTGCTTCTTAGTTTTGTTTTGTCAATTAAGATATCTTTGCAGCTCTGTGTTGATGACAATGAATTTGAGGATTATAAAAAAACAACCTGAGGTAGACAGAGATGGATGAAAGAAAGGAAATGGATGAGGTACAGGACAGCCTCACAACTCTTAACCAATTCCTTCAGAGGGGGACAGTACAGAGACCGACAGCATGATTCATATCCGGCTTTATGAAGAGAATGATAAATCTACAGCCATCATCAATGCGCTGTATTGTCCTCAGCTAAGAGTGAGAATACTTCTGCCATCTAGAACAAGCTGCTGATAGCACATCACAGATGCATGTTATAGTTGACAGTACAGAATGGAAAGTGAAACTGAAAATATTAAGCTCAAAAGGAGTGACTAAACGCAGTGTATTTCAGTCCATTTGGCTGGATTAACATTCTAAGAGGGAAAGGATATTAGGAAGCAGCATCTGCATGATAAAAAAGATCTCTTAATTAGTCCATTTTTACTGTGTGATTCATTTAATAGCTGGTTGATGATTTTTTAAAGTATCCAATAAATGTAATGTAATAAATGTTAAGCTTTATCTATAAAACATCATTTCAATTTAATCAAATGAAAGATTTAAAATCATGATTTTTTACAACTTTCATAACTTAGATTGGGATTACCATCTCTCCTAATCATGAAATGATGAGGGAGACAATGGCTTTTATTTTTCCATGTCTGGGTCAAAATGAACCCTTTTTACAACCTACCACTTCCTATTCAAAGGACACATCAAACACATAAAAGATAAATCTGTCCTCAGAGACATTTTGATCTCATACCAGATGTGATCAGTGTACCTTTCGACTTTGTCGACCCAGTACATGAACACACCACACACACACCCTGAGGTGCACTAGAAGTGTTTGGTGGTGGTTAGTTGGCTTCTAAAGTGTTTGCTCGTGGCAGCTGCTTATTGCTGATGCCGTTTGATATCTTGGCTGCAGTCTTATCTCTTCAATTGTCACATCGCTGTAATTCTGAGGCGTGGAAAGTAAGCTTAGTTTAGGAAACTATCAATGCCCAATTATTTATTTTGCCCCCCACCTATTTTTCAGGCTCAATTCCCTAATATGCTGATTATCGTTATTAATCATTCAGGTCAAACTTGTGCAGCAGGACTGTGATGGAAAAAAGTAGCCATTTATAGATCTTTCTTTTCTTTTTGGAAAATGAACACCTATGTCGGTTTAAAGTGGTGAGGTAATATTTAAAAAAAAGATGTGCACTGATGCTCCAGCAATTCATTTTTTGTTTTTCTAAAATCACTGTTTAGGCCTAGGATTGGATCAGCAGAGATGTAATTCAGTTAGTCACATCCTGAAACTTTCCGTCTATCCCAATCTGGACCTCAACAGCATGAACAGCTGCTGAGACGCTACCTTATCAAGACTGATTTATTTCAGCCTTATGTTTGTGCAGTGGCCCCTACAGGCAAGAAGGGAGATGGAATTTGTATGATTTCTTACATAAAGAATATGTCTATATCAAGCTGTTGCTTTCTATGAGGGTCGGTCTACTTAATGGGGAACATAAGATGACTGCCACATGTTTGACTCTATAGAGGAGCCTACCTCGGTGAGCATAGTTAAGTCATAGCATGCCAACACAGGCTAGAGATGTTGAACAGCAGGTGGCTTATGCAGCATATGGTGGACTAGGAGAGTAATTGAAGTAGCATGTGGTTTTCATGGAGGACGGTAGAATGATTGCATCTGGGCGGTTGTCTTTTGTTAAATGACTACTGAAGCTGTTGGAAACTGCAGTACAAGAGGCCATTAAATGTAGTTTCCTGAAAGATACTGTCGAACCATGTAAAGAGTCAACATAAAAATGGCAAAAAATGCCCTTGATAGTTTTCTTTGTTAAAATCTATAGGCAACCTCCAAATAAAGTTGCTCTAGTTCCCAACCTTATTTATCAGACCGGAAACAAGTCTCCCATCGGGAGTGGAGTCATTTGGAATGATGGGAAGGTCACATAATGAGGAAATATTATGTATATTAAAATACGAACATGCAGAAACACAAATAATGCCAATTCAAAAGCAATCATATAAACGCAATATAAATTAACTCACTGGTGGTCCACAGTGGCAGCACCACAGGGGGCCGGGTTGGAAATGTCTCGGTTCTTCCCGACGAGGATCTGGATGAGCTGGTCGAGCTTATTTCACTCCTACACCCACAACCTGGTCCTGGATGAGAAACGGAAAAGGAATTGATGTCCTGATTAAATTATGCTAAGTCAAAGTCAGAGTATAAGTTTAAAGTTATCAGAATTCTATAACCTAAGCATTGCAATAAAATGTTACGACACAAGAGAAAAGTCACACTTTGAGTGATAATTTACAAAGACAAAGTTAAGAGTGATACTATTTCATTTTATTTCTCTCCTTTTTGTTAACATCACAAGGACAACACTGACTATATGCAAGCTGCTCACAGGCACTGTGGCCTTTAAAGAAGCTGAATGGAGGCAGAAGGAGGTTTTACTGTAACACAGACAGCATTCTGGTGGGGAAGCTCTGTCCTAAATGTTAAATGTTTCTGAAATCATATCAACTCACTGGCAGTGTGTTGGACTTCTTTTTGTGTGGCAAAGTCATTGAGTTGTCGATTTGTTTTTCACTAGTTCAAAAAGAGAAATAGATGTCCATCACATAAATAAGCTAAACTGATTTCGAAGCCATGATTTGAAAGAAACTTGAATATTTTGAAACATAATATTGAAAGCAACAAATGTCAAGCAGCACTGGCAAACAAATCAGTTTGTTCCATGTTAAGCAGAAGTCAAGTAATCACCCCCAGTGCGTCATCATCATTTAATTTATCTTAAAATAAAACAGCCATTTACTGAAATGATCAAGTCATAATGCACCTCCGTCACACTTCCTCTTTGAACCAGTACATTTAAACACACAAATGTCTACGTGATTTGCATTTTCAGGCAAGATGGAAAAAGATGTTGACCAAGCTGAGCCAAACGTTTTTTTTGTTCAATTAGCCATTAACTATGTCTCATCTTCTTTGGAGAATATATTCACTGCAACCAATAAATAAAAAACAAAATAACATTGATATATACAAGGCACTTTTTCACTTTAGCTGTGCAACTGCTGGGTACACCCAAAAAAATGTCTGTATTATCAGAATAATTTACTATCACTGCTCCCACTTTGTTATAAATACATCATCAAAAATACTACCATTATGTGCAGCTATGTCCATTTCTATTACCGGTATTTTAATCCCCGAATACTTAAGAGCACAACCACTAAAAATCCAGCAGGAAGTATAAAACCTGTGGGTAAAGCCTCACGATGCTTTCCATTTCCAGGCTGCGGTAAAAGACAAGAGCCTAAACTAAGCAATGAGCTGGTTAAATCTCAAGAAAAATGAGCTGTAATGCCTCCAACATTTCTGCTTTTACTTCTTTTTCCAGCTGATCAAAAAGCCGTCACGGCACATTGCGCCCTATAATGGTTTCTTTGTCTGGACTCCTGGGTATTTAAATTAACAAAACAAAGCAACTGCACCATTCTCTGGCCGTGGAACTCCATCTACATGTGCACGCAACCTTTTTAAGAATGTATAAGAACCTATACGCTTTGGAAAGAGATTGGGAAACTGTGGCTAAACTGATTGAGGAGGACACAAGGGAACATGCAGAGAGGCGACGCAGAGAGAACAAAGCGAAAACAGAATCATGTGGATCCTCGTCATTCATGCGATAACTTGCAGTTAGTGTTCTTAGAGCTTATTTTTGACAATTTGTTTGAGCCAGAAATAAATTTGGCAAGGAATTTTATCTTTCAATGGCACGGCATCTCTTGAGCAGTCTACAAATGAGTTTTGCCAGGAGACACACATGCCCAGGTTGATGTTTTTGTGTCTGTGTGTCGTGAAGTTGGTTCCATCAAAGCGTTTCTATAAATAGCAGCTATGCCAGCACCACAGTCCGTTATATAACCTTGTGGAAATGCATACTGAGACAACATCAGCATCAACAGCGATGTAGCTACCTAGCAGAATGCTGTAAGGCATCACTCCCTTCCTACTTCTCACATGCACCACAACACAGATTACATGCTTTTTTTTTTTATTAGCCATGCAGTATTTCTGACTTTACTAGAAAGTACACGGACACAAAATGGTAGTAGTAGACTTGTTATTCTGACTGTATTGGATGTCCATTGAACCCTGCAAGCCAAGCTCAAAGCAGGACACTAAATCCCAATTCCCTCTTGTTGGCCTTTATATAAACTTTGATAACATATGTGCACATTTTGTTTTGGCAGTCTAGAAAAAGTGGTAAGTTTGCCATCTGAATATTGTCCTAAAGATTTACATGGCTATATTATTTTAATCTTTTAGTTTGCGTAGGTGCGTTTCATTTTTTTGGGGTGGGTGGGGGGTGGGGTTTAATTTGTTAAAGACAAAGGAATTCCCATTGCCTGAGCCCATGGAAACCCAAATGAAGCTGTAACGGATTCAGTTTTGTATATCTTGTTTGTTAAGTGAACAAACTAATTAGTCAAATTAATATTTGTAGTGTTTGCAGAATTTCTAAGCTAACAACGCACAACTATCACTTTGACATATCTGCAAAATACATGCAGCCCAAACTCTTTGGGGATGTTTGTTTGATTAATAATCCAGAAAACATCCTGTTACATCTTTGAATCGTTGACCAATTTATTTACAGATTGATTTTATTGGATGGAAAAAGATTTAGACAACCATTTCCGAAAT